AATTTAACTAACCCTAACGAAAGAGAATGAACATAACATTTTTATTAACTCATTTTTATGCCTGTGACAATGGAATCAACAATCAAGATTTTAGCTGCAACAAAGGCAAAAAAAGTGTTATGTTGTGCTTAGTAAAATTCCAGAAGGATGTATATTAGTGACGTAGCTACGGGTGGCTAGAGAAAAGTGTTATTATGTTGTAGGTATTAAAATTCCAGAAAAATGTATGTCAGTGACGTAGCTAGTAAAATTCCAGAAGGATGTATATCAGTGACGTAGCTACGGGTGGCTAGAGAGAACATCTGTCCCAACTTTCACTATCCCCGCACTAATTATTTTTGCAATTGGTTACGGTTTCTCCATAGTCTCTTTCATTGTAAAATATTGAGAGCAGAAGTGGATTAGAATATTAATGAAAAGTTTTATTTATCTGTTTACTTCTAAATTTAGAATAGCCAGCAATATAACACAAAATTTGTAAAATTTATCTTAATAAATATAAACTTGTGATTTTATTACATGAGTTTTCTTAATCTGGAGTTTATACCTTATTTACGTTATACAGTGTATTTGATTTCGAAGTAAACAGTTGTTAAAATTTTCTTAAATATTACTTTTTTTCGAATTTAGCCCTTTAAATTAGGTCAAAATCAATTTGAAAATTGCAACCACCAAATTGTGTCTTAGCAAATGTAATTTATAAGCGCTGGATTCATACAGTACAGTGTTTCAAATTCAATAATTTTTTTCTTCCTGGTAGTATCAAGCGGAACTTTAGCAAATAAAATTAATATACGTATAAGAGGTGTATAAAAGTTATATTAATATACGTATATACAAATTCAAATACGATCAAAAAATTGCTTTTTTTTTAAATTTATGTTCTAATGGATAATGTATATTGCACACGGTTTGCACCGATAACAAGACAGATGGGAAAATATTAGTGGTAGGCTGATAATGTGTGTTAGCTGTTGGACACATTGTAGTGGGTTGTTTTCGCGATTTACTATTAAATTTTAAATTTCCCTGTTCAAAACTGTACACATACAGATTGCACAGGGTGAAAAATTTATGAGGTTTAAATCACACTTATTTAGGAGCTTTCTGTTTAAGATTCCACCTTTTTGTTTATAAAAATATTGAGCATTGCTTTCATACAGTTCAATGTTTTCACTTCAAGAATGTATTTTCCGGGCACTATCAAGCAGAACCTTAGCAAGTAAAATTAATATACGTATAAGAGGTATACGAAACATATAAAAGAGATATTAATATACATATTCAAATATGATTAAAAAGTTGTTTTTTAATTTATGTTTTAATGAATATTGATCGGGGTATATTGCACACGGCTTGCGACGATGACAATGCTGATGCAAAAATATTATTAATGGTAAACTGCTCATGCGCACTTTGTCATGGAATGTTTTCGCGATTTAATATTCATGTTCAAAACTGTGCACATACAGAGTATACAGTGTTCAAAAACTACTTGGTTTAAATCGCTTATTTAGGAGCTTTTTCGTTCGAGATTCCATTTTGTTTAAAAAATATAGGCGCGTGAGGATATCACATCGATCAAATGCAAATTGTTAAATGATTTAATTTAAAATGTGCTGTAAGTATATCATTTATTTAATAAATAAAAAAAATTAAGATATAATGAAAGATGAAAAAAATTGAAATTCTACAGCTGAAACGATAAATCTAAAGTATTTCAGACATGTTTCTCAAATTTATAGAGCCTAAAAATTATTTGAAATAAATATATTACCTCCGTTTATTGGGGCTAGTAAGAAACATGGTTTTAGTTTTTGTAAGTTTTATTTTTGGGTATTCAATGCTTTTATACATGAGCAGAGGAAGACAAAATAAAAACACAGTAAACAATATTTTGTTGCACATTCACAACAGCTAAAAAAAATAATAATCGTGAAAGTTCAGATTTTTATCTCATTAGCCCGATTGATCTGATATTTTTATTTATAATGTGATCCATACACTTGGAAAACAAGATTGTTTAATGAAAATCACTTTTGTTTTCTCACTTAATATTGTATTTTATCTTTTCATCCTGTATAGTTTGACAGCAGTAAGCTTGCTCTAGTTTTCTTATCTTTATGTTACCCGGATGTCTATATTATAATTTTTTTTTGTCTTTTCCAAAATAATTGAACTATAGTAAAACTGATGTTTATATTTTATTCTATCACTAGCCTTGATCGTTCATTCAATACAATCAATATACAACTCTTGAGAGGGCACTATACCGTGGAAAATACCTTCCATGGCAAACTCTCTTTCCTTAACATAAATAATTTAAAGTATCGAAAAATTAAGTGCAGTTGAACATTTCAAATGCCAGTTTTTTTGTAGAAAATATTTGCTTGACTTAGAATAGTGGCTCCCTTTCTCTTTTATTTTCTCTTTTGATCCAATTCCGGCTTTTCATTATTGCTAGAAACTCATCCCCTCTTAAAGAATTTTAAAAAAAAAACATATTTACTATACTTATTTAGATTTTGATGAATTTTGAACACGTTTTAAAACAAAAGTATAGAAAATCTCTATTTACTAATTGCTTTCCTTTCCATTAGCATAGCAAACTAATGATTTAAACAAAATAGAATTAATAATATTTCAATTATCAGAAAAAAGTATTATTATAGCAAACCAGCACTTTGTTGGTCACTTCTTTTTTTATAATTAAATAGACGCAGCACAGGAAAAGACCAAACACAGGTCATTTTCAACTTTCTATTTCCTTTAGTTGATTTTATTTGCAACGCAGTCAAGTCTGAATCGCAAAGATAAGTCAACACGCATGGAACCAATGCCCTGCATGGAACCAATACTGCTTGTGGATAAGACTGACACACTGAAGACCGAAATTCTGTGGCTGATTTTTCTTCAAATGTGTTCTTTGCGTAGAGATCATTTGTAATCCAAAAAACTCATTTTTCAAAATGTCAAGAACTTTTTCATACATAATGGGTTTGGAGCTAAATTTATCTTCTTATCAGAGATTTTGGGAGAGCATTATCTAAATTGATGTTCTAATGATACAAAGGGGTCTGCAGTAAAAACTAAGAGTAATCAGATTGACCTCATTTCCCCCTTTGTAACTGTGAAATTCCCCTTAGAGGGAATACCTCCCCAACCCCCAGGTTGAGATTTGAGGCATCGTACAAAGATTCCTGAATAAAAATGAATTACTAAAAGGAGAAAAGCCTCACTATCATAGTCAAAAAAAATTTTGAATAAATAATTCAGCGAAAGTATTAAAGTAATTTAAATATTATTATAAACATGTATACCGAAATTCAGCTTTATTTAAGCAGTAGTTTTATGGGAAAATGTTCCATTTGTGTTGAAATTTGCAGTTTAGAGAAAAAGAACCCGAAAGAAATAGATAGTGATAAATGGTACGTAGAGTGTTTGAAAAATCATAAAAATAGAATTTCAGCTAGAATAACAATAAAAATTGTTATACAACAGTTGAACTTTATTAAGAATTAAAAATTGGGATACATCACTTTCAAGTCGAAAAACGTGATGATAACCTTAAACTTCTCCGCAGGCATAAATTATCAGGCTACCCCATTAAAGTTTCTATCCTCAACTATTTATAAAGTGATAAAATATTTATGAAATTATATGATATATTCTACTAAGAGCCGTGACAATAAATCCACTCAGCTAATTTACAGTTCTTAAATAGTATATCAGCAGGAATTCACCACCGTGCTACGTACGACAGTCGAGTGTGGTAGCCTCACCCATCTATTTATAGAGTAATGGAACAGTAACACTAAATGAAATTACATAAAATTTATATTCTACCACTGGGCATGAAAATAAATTTAGACAGCCAATTTTCAACGACTAATCATCACAACAGGATTTTGCCATCGAGCTACCACACTAGTGTGTGGTAGCTGTTTGTGGTATTCTGTTATTTTATAAATGGATAAATAAGGCAACCACATTAGTGTGTGGTAGCCTTACCTATCCATTTATAAAATAACAGAATGCTGATATTATACAAATTTATGTAGTATAATTCTACCTTACTATTCTACCATGGGCCATGAACAATAAATCCACACATCTTATTTACAGCTCTTAATCACCCCTTGTGTCAACAAAATTTTCCACTACTGGCCATGAACAACTAATTAATCCACACATCTGTTTTACAGCTCTTAATCATCCCAACAGGAGTTTACCGTCTTTTACCACATTAGAGTGTGGTACTACATGAAATTGTATAGTATTACTTTTCTACTACTGGCCATGAACAATTAATTAATCCACACATCTGATTTACAGCTCTTAATCATCCCAACAGGAGTTTGCCGTCTTTTACCACATTAGAGTGTGGTACTACATGAAATTATGTAGTATCACTTTTCTACCAAGGGCAATAAGCAATTAATCTAGATGACTAATTAATTGCTCTCAATTAGTATCCCAATACTATTTTACCATTGTGCTACCTCATTAGAGTCTGGTAGCAGTACCCAGTCATGCTACCCATCATTAGAGAGCAACAGAATAGTAATACTATATGAAACTATATGGTATTACTATGCTACCACTGGCTATGAAAAAAATAATCTACGAAGCGAATTTACAGCTCTTAAACATCTCAACAGGATTTCACCATCTTCTAACACATTAGAGTGGGATACTATATGGAATTATAGAGCATCACTATTTTACCAGGTGCCATAAACAATAAATCCACACAATTTATTTACTTAACCACTTAATTATATTACTAACACTTAATTAGTATCTCAACAGGATTTTAGAATAGTGTTACCACCTCAGATTGTGTTAGCCCTTCCCAGCTGTTTATAGAATAATAGAATAGCAATACAATATCAAATTTTCACGATCTACCTTACAAATAAATGTAAAAATTAGAATCATACATTTAGCTTGATTGTGTTTGGTTTCAGGAAATGTATAAAGTAATAAAATTTGCTTACTTGTCCTGGTGTCATGATAGGGAACCAGTTCTTATTAACATTTTCCACTTTCTTTTCTACTCCATGCGTTTTCTCTTTCAACTGATGTGCTTGTAATTTTGATACCTTGTTACAGTTTTTCCGCTAAACGTGAAAATTTTTGTTAAGATATCTTTCAGGTACCTCAAAGGCTTTGACCTAACCATCACGTGATTCACAAAGGCGGGAAACATTTTTCTTTCTTCTTCTCATAACAACTGTTTAACCTAATTAAGAATCTTGTTGATTTAGTATGTTTTAAACACCTCATTTAATTGCGCCAAGATATCTTGGAGTAAATATGCGGAGTACATCCGTATTATCTGACCTTGTCTGCACTTAATTTTTCATTCATGTTTTGAGTGACGCGAGAAGTTAGGATCATTTTTCATTTGGTAACGAGGCAGACATACTCACGGTAGATAAATATGTATTGTAAATAAAAAATGCATCAGGAAAAAAAAATAAAGCTTCATTAAAAGAATTCCTATTTGACAATGAATTAAAATTTATGTTACCTTTGTTTTCATATAAATTTTTAAGGCGTAAACTAGGTCATATTTTGGTGGAATTTCAATGCTAAATTTTCTATCATCGATCATTAAATACAGTTACAAAAACAAAATGATGTGAAGGAAATTCTTTGGTGCCAACAAAGAATTACTAGATTATATCATATTAGGGAGCTCCACCCCTCGCTCGCTGCGCTCGACAACCCCACAAAGCTGCTTTCCAATCACTTTGCTCATTCATTTGATGCTAATGTATTTCAGTTTTGCTTTTTATGAATGGTGGTTATCTTTATAAAATAAAGTTCTAAAACTATAAAGCATATACATCCTGTAAAACCTTTAATTTATTTACATTTTGGTACTATTCGATTTCAGCAGGTCGTAAAAACCTATTAACATAATATCTCAATATATTCGGAACCTATTACCACAATACTCAGGTTCGAATCCCAGCGATAGCGCAATATTGCAAGTCTTTTATTTTTATCTACAATCCTAAAAATATCAGTTGAACATTGAACCTTAAGATTATAATTTAAGCCACAATATTGTGCCCATTTTAAATATTGTTAATCAAAATTTTGCGAAGTTTAGTACAGAAATAGTTTTTCTTTCTACGTTAAAAAACAAAAGTTACTACCGAATCCACGGCAGTTTCATAAAGACATGATTTCAGGTCGTGCTTCGCATTCAAAAATTATTCGAGATGAGACAAATATATTAAAATTTACACACATCTAAGGAAAGGTATCAGGAACATTCTTATATGAAAGAGGAGCTGTCATAAATAACTTTTTGAGAGATAATTATTTCACATAAAAGATTTTTTTTTTCGTCTCGTAATTCAATTTTGCCAAAACTATTAACAGCAGAATTGGGATATTTTTTAGCCACGTACTCTTATGCTTAAAAAAAAAAAAAAAAAAAAAAAAAAAAAAAAAAAAAAAAAAAAAGCTGTCTTAGCTGGTTTTTCAAATAAATATTTGAGTTTTTGAAATGGTAAAAAAAAAATTTAGGTGTGATAAATAGCGAAAGAAAAACTAACAAATGAAAAAAATATGTACATATGCATAAATAAAAACTTTTTAACTTTTTAAAAGAAAATCCTTTTTTTTTTATTTGATCTCGAAGATTAGCAACAAAGTTCGTACTTCGTCCATTGTTTGAACGGGCACATTAATCAAAAATTCTGCTTTCAGTTTTAAAAAAAAAATTGGGGGATATTATTATAATAGGGGGCTTAGATTTATGTAAACTAATATCGACAGTTTTAAATTCTCTCCTGCTTTTTTTTTATATATATATTTCCCCCTCTCCTCGAAATGACGCTTGAGTGTGACCAGATTATCCTGGAATTCTTGCTAGTAACTTCGAAATATCAGGAATTCTTAAGCTATCCTCTTCCATTTTCGATTTTGTACATATTTTCATTCGTTTGTAAAGAATTTTTCTTCGATTTAAATCCCTCCGATTTGAATTTTTAAAAATATCTATCTCACTTTAATTTTATTTTATTTCAGGTTGAGTTTGATAATTTAAACGTATTTACTGCAGGGTAATATTTAAAAAAAAATTGATTCTTAAAATTTCTAAATTTGATTTTTCATTTAGGTTTTTCGATTCAATTTTTTTAATTCTGATTTTATATAGTTATATAGCTTAAAACAGCTGCTGAAATCTGAAAAGATCCTCGCAAGCAATTCTGGAGATTGACGATCTGGTGACTGATGATTTTATTTTGTTTTATAACCATCGTTGAAAAGTCGAACCAATTTTGAGTTTACGACTACGAATGTTCAGCTCCATAACCTTGTAATTTTGAGCCCAATCCAGAAGACAAGGAAACTCCTGGATCAAGTATTGGGAGAAATTTGTCGTCGTGGAGGACTTTCTAATTAGAACTAACTCGCATTTGCGTTACATGGAGAGGAAAACCATGAAAACCTCCCACGGTCGGCTTGACGGCAAGGGGACTCTAACCCATGATCCGTCCGTCTACCACTGAGGATATTTTACGTCAGCACTGCGGTTGGTGCAAGCCGGATGCGGAATTCATATCGACCAGCCATCGCTGAGATTTGAACCCGGTTCACCTCATTGGGAGCCACCCCTGAGCCACCACGGCTTGGAGATTGATGATTGACGAGCCTCAAATATGTAATTTGAATATCAGAACACTAAAGAGAACTTTTTATTTTAATTTTATTAATTTTTTTAAATTATGTTTATCTTTTTGCGCTGCATAATTCTATTCTATGAAATCTATAGCAGCAGTGTATTTATTCTAACTCTGAAAAAACTATTATTTCGCAGTAGCGTAATTTTATATCTGAAGAATAACAATGCCTCTAAATACTTAGTTTAAATTTCCAATTAGTTTTTATTAATAAAATTGTTCAGTTGTTTAACCTTGATATTTTATCTCATTCTATTACTCGACTTTACTTGATTCTATTAATAATTCGTCTTTTTGCAGGTTTGATCGATGAAAGAATCAAGCTCAGATCGCGAAACTACCCTGTAAAAACTGCGCAAACAGTTTCGAGGATCAGCTAGCAACAGCAAGCAGGTGGAGAAGCATTTACTACAATGAAAATAAACTATAAAAGATTTTATAGAATAAAAGCTAAGGTATTGAGTTTACAATTTTGCTGAAATCAAACAAGTTACATAAACGCCATGGTTATGCCAATAAACGGTTTCTCAACCAAATAAATACTACTTCATATTTGAAATTGATCTTAAAAATATTTCATATTTAGAATCTTCATATTTATTTTTTAAATGATGATTAAATTAAATTTTTTCTTCACTTATAATTTTTACATTCCTAATGGAAAAGATAAATTATGTATTTTTAATATTTAACCATACGAATTTCATTTAAACTGTATTTTTTCTCTCCATTAAATAAGCATCAAGGAAACTGCATTAATTTTTAATCATAATTATTTTGATAATAATTTTTTTTGTCTTCTTCAAATTGCTATTCTTTATTATTATATTTAATTGCTATTCTTAAGTTTGCTTCAATACCACGAATCCTTATTAACGAATTTATTCTTAAATAATTGTTAAGTATTTAGTAGTACCTCTGATAATTATGCTCAGTTCATTAAAACAAATGGTAATTTTTCAAACGCACGTTGATGCTTTTGTCTGGCCTTTGCTACTTCTTTCGGTTTCGAAATGGAACTAAGCCTTGACAAGGGTGTCATATCACATGCTCTCCATCCCTCCTCTCTTGATATTTTCTCTTTTATTATTTCCATATGCGTTCGCCAGCTCACGCAGATAATCAACATCAATTATTCACCGTCTCTACTTCTATTCAATTTCTCTTGCCCAACCCTTGAGACTTGACGAGGAAATGAAAATTCCCCAAACTTTTCCCTCTCTTTCAAGGACCAAGTACAAGTTTCTTTTTGCGTGGTTTTGAGGTCGAATTGGATTATTTGAATGTATTTTTTTTTATGAATTAATGAAATAGTGAATTAATTCAGCTAAATTATTTTTTGTATTTTGAAGGGATGAATTTTTATTTTATTATTTCCTACACCATAGAATTTTTTTCTTTCTCCCTTAGATTAGTTTTTCTTTTTTTTTAATATTTGCTTGGTATTCATAAATTTTTATACGTATAAAATGATTAGAAAGACTAGTTAAAAATAAAATGAGCTAAATGCAGCAATTAAATTCAATCAACAAATTCAATCTCATCGTGAGCATTTTTTATAGGCATATATTAGGCTGTACTTGCCTGTTAATGGAGTTTGTAAGGTCTGCAAATATTCATCATATTAAAACTAAAATTTTAACAATGCAATTATAATTGAAATCAAAATACTGACTTTTAATTTCCCCCCCCCCCTCCAAACAATTAATTCTAAAATACACGAGTTTAATGTCAGAACCAGAAATTTCTTATCATCCTCGAATTTCATTTGTTATAAATCTGAAATTTAAAAAAAAAACGGGTGTCTGTAACTTAAATTGTCATATTATGCTATATCACTAAAAAAATATTTTAAATTTAATAAAATTGAACTGAAAACAGACATAAGTTATTCAAATATAATTTTTACTACAATTTTTTTGTTAAATACTTCCTATCTAACTTACTTGAAACAGTTCAAAAATTTTTCTCTCTAACAATCATAATGATCATACCGTTAATACAGTTACCTCTCTAACCAATTCAATTCGTTTGAATTTTTTTTATTCTTTGACTTTCCTCATTTTTACGAAAGTTACAGATAAAAAACAGGAAAAAAATATTGCAAATAATGCATAGAATTTATTTCCACATATTTTTAATTAACTTTTCAAATTGACTAATTAATTTGATTATTTTATATGTACTTTTTATTATAAAATGAAATTTATGTACTTCTTCAAAAGTTAAATTAAACATGAACTTAACTTTTGAATGTAATTATTTAAATTTTTAAAAAGTTGTTATTTAAATAATAGTCAAAATATTAATTTGATTACTAATTTTTCTCACGTATTAATAATAAATATTTGCCTAAATAATTTTCGTAAGATCAAAAACACAGTTTCTTATTTCAACCAAACGTAGTCGGAAGCGAGCAAATTTTTCAGACTCCAATTCCTGCAAAATTTTCTCTGACTCTATACTCTATACAATGACTCTATACAACCCTGCTTTCAATGACTTAAATAATCTACTGTGCTGCCCATAGCTATAGACAAACATATGTGTCAATTGCTGACAACAAAGATGTCCGTGACTTGCATTTTCAAGGTGTGTCTGATTGAGAAGTAGCACACATTTTATTCTTTTTTGTCATTAAAATTCTTTAAATGTCTTGTTCTTCCCACATAGCTTCCTACGATTTCTTCTTCAAGTTTATATGAAAGAACTTAAATTTCATGTACAATTCCAGACAAAGAAATTATATGTACAACTGAGTTAAACAATGGCCAAATCACATAATAATATTTTCTTGATAAAAAAAGACCTAATTTTGCAGTGTTTAATTAACAGTTTAACTCTTGACTAAACATTGAAAAATTAGTTTTTATTATTCATATTTCTGTATTTATTTATTTCTTGCCTCATTTCTTTTTATATCTTAACCACTTTTCCGCAACTTTTGCTTATTCATTTCCATTGTTAATGTTGTGCTAATTCTAAATCATCAAATTTCGAGAACTTTGTCACAAGTGTTTATTGTTCATATTGAATTTTTTCAGGGTAATAAGTTTTTTCCGAGTGATTAATAACATTTTTGTTAATTCTGAAGAATAGATTTAAAATTAGCTTCAAAAATGGGTAAAATAAGACAATGTATCTTCAGTGTATCATTTTTTTAAAAACCAATTAGTTACAAAAAAGTATGCTTAACTTAAAATGATTAATTAATTATTAAGGAAAAGTTCTACTCTCTCACTTATTAAGATCATAAAATTTTTTAAATTGCCTGAGCTTTACAAGTTAAAGAAAACGAATATTCTCGAAAGATTAACAAAACAAAATCTAATTACCACTGGGTATTGAACTCCGTTCTTTTATAATGACAGATCAGTACCTTAACCACTGAGCTCAATGATTAAAAATGCTATCCAAAAAGAACAAGTTGAAACTCACCAGAATGAGATACAAATAGCACTCTTTTTATCGAACCTTTGCCTGGTTTAAATAAGTTTGCACAGTTTTTAGGTTTTATTAAACAGGTTTGAGATATATCTTTCTCAAAATGAGGAAATCAGTTTTTAAATGTACCTTTCCACTATTCCAATTGACACTTCAAGAACAATGTTCTTACATTTAGCACATTGTCGAAACTTGAACTTGCGATATGCGTTTGTTATTTTCAAAAAAAAGGCAGCAAGATTATCACTTTTACCACTTACGCATTTAGGTAGGTTGTCCTTTCACTGGTTAACCAGCTATACTATTTATTCTTTAATTTAAACCATTTTATGATTTTTAACAAATAATTTGAGCAATCTGAATTTAAGCAAAATAAAAATATATGTAATTTTAAGATGACCCCCTGCTAATGCTCACTGACCTCCATTATTGCTTTGCACTCATTTATGTTTTTGAAGATTAAAAATTGTTTCATCAAAATTAACAATTATTCAAGTAAAATACCTCCAAAAGTTTTGACTGTGATACACAGATTTTAATTCCACAGATTTAGTTCTTAACTCTTTTGAGATTAAATTGAAACCTGATAATTTTGGTGCGTAACTATTAAAACTTCATTTACACATTTATTTTTAAATACTTATTCATTTTTTAATAACTACAAGAGCTTGAAAAGTTTTGTCAAATAACTTATTTAGCAATAGTGCGAGTTAATCCGTAATATTGATATGAAACTTTAAATATTTATTTTGTATTTAATATATTATTGACATACATTGAACTGAACACAGTTTTCCATAAAATCTACCATTAAACATAACTTATTAGAAAATATAAATAACTTCTTTACCGTTTAATAATTTTAGAACGATAACTGGGTATTTTTATAATAAAATGTGGCTTAATAAGCTAATATCATACAATTACTCGATAGTATAATAGAGGACCAATATTTTTTTATTTATTTAAAACCATATTTTTTGATAAAAATCCAATTCGTAATTATAACAGAAAATAATAATTAGAAAGGCTGGGAAAAAGAAATATTACTGGTAAATACAATTAAATAGAGGAATTTAATTTTTATTAATTTTTTGCTGATGACATGTTAATATATCTGAATCTTTTTTTGTTTAGTTTATGATTTTCCTGACCAATGAAAATACGCATAAGAAAATTTATCTTTTTATGATAATAAATGAAGAAACTTAATAGTATGTCGAGAATTTCCTTTAAACGGTTATGGGGAACAAAACAAAACAAAAATATACTTAGTTTAAACCGTGTTTGATAAATTAAAATTCTAAAGATAAAACAAATATGCTTCATAACAATTAAATTATTCTTCTTAAAAAAAGTTTCTAACTCGGTGCAGTCTTATCTCCAAGTATAAATGTGGAAAGATTGTATCTGCAAACAACTTATTTTAGTTTAATATCGGTCCCTTTTGAGAGCAATTACTTAAGTATTTATGACGTAATCTTTTTCCCCATTAACTTTTACATAACGACTGAAAAATCCCTTTTTCGGGAAATTTTCGAGAGATCTTTCGAGTTCCTCGTTTTATTTATCTCATTTTTTTAAAAGCGGAAACAAACGTCACGTGAATATTATCTAGGCGGAAGTTGGGATGCTGCGGAACATCCACAAGTGTCTATAACACTGTGTTCTTTCGGGTGGTGCATTTGTTTTGGTTTTTTATTTATGTATTTTCTTTTTTTAATACGGAGGTGTCAGTTTTTGGTATAATTTGAAACTTGTGTTTTTGTTTTGGTGCTGTGACAATTCACAACACCTGGATTTCTCTGTTTACAGGTATGTTTGTATTTTATTTATTTGCTTGATCGTATTCTTTTGAAAAATAGATAAGATCGTAGTAAACATACATAAAACTTATTTGACATTTGCGTTCTTAATTGTAATCGTTATGATCTATAAAAAATTACGGCATGTGATTCGTTTCCAATGACTTATATACCCATAAACCGAATTTTAAATTTTGTTATGTTTCATATTTTAATTTTTTTAAAAATAGGTTTTTGTAAAATTTTATATTTAAATATTTTTTTTTAAATATTAGTTTTTATAAGGTTTTATATTCAGCTAATCTTATAAGTAAAAAAAGATTCACAAATAAAGCTTAATATGATTAACTAATTCGAAAATTTTACTTTTGATTTATTCCTGTATACGTAATTAGTTTTATTTTAATGTGCCAAGCCATAACCAAGCAATTAGTTCTGAATTTTTAAGAAGAAACTATCTGAAATTTATTTTAATTTGTTTACTTTTACGACACCGTTATTATTATTTTCACAATTTAATTTAGATCTAGCTATACAGCTATCTATATTGTTTATAAGAATTACTTGCTATTAAGAACTTTAAATAGTTGCACTGATTGTTAAAGTTAAAAAGCTTTTACAATTCAAAATTTGCTAATTCTAAAATTCGAAATTTAAATTTCACTAGTACTAAAATTTGTTCTTTTCCTCTTCAAAAAAATCTAGATTTGTAATTTTAAATCTTGAAACAATAAATTAAAAGATCAAACTTTTTTAACAAGTTTGAAATTTATGTTTGAATATAGAGGTTGTTTTATTCTTGTTTAAACATCTTGTATAACCGTAATTTATTTTATATGTAACCATGATAATAAAATAAGCTTATTGAATTTTCAAAAATGATTCCTATTTGCTTGTTTCGATCGATGCTTTTTTTTAATCATTATTTTCATACTTTGAAGCTTTTTTCACAGTATTTATTAATTATATTATCAGCTTTTCTTAATTTAATTTACATTAAACTATAAAATTAAGTTTGCAAATTGTTATTTCTATGATTATAATATTCTTGCATTGATTGTAAAAGTTGAAATTACTAAGGCTTTCAAAATTATTATCCGTACTATTAATAGTTCTCTGACTCCTTCTAAATCTAAGTTTGTAAATTTTATTCTGAGTTTTTTAAATTTATTTCTTATTCTTTATCAATACTGACTCGTGGCGAAATTTATTTAACTTCTAATTTATATTATCTGTAAGTATGCAAATTCGTTATCTTCTTGTTAAGGTTGCTATAATTTTTTTGTCCCAATTGTTACTAAGCCACGATTCTAAAAATAACTAAATAAATGAAAAAAAATTAAAATCATGCATAATCTTTTACGAAAAATATTCATTTTAAAAGTCTCTATGTTTATTGTTGTTGATAGTGCTAAAAAGTGAACAAACTAAGAGAACTATCAAAGAATACTAGATTTTAAATGTTTTCCTCGCATAGAAAATGAAATTTCCTGAAAAAAATATCCATATTTAAAAATGGTTTAAAAATATTCTGAAACAGTTATTTCGGCCCTAAGCATTCTAACCTAACTGTAAAGAAAAAGGAAAGAAATAAAACTTAACAGCTATAAATACACAATACTTGAAGGGGAATTTTTTTCCCACCACCAATACAAATTTCAATCACAAATATGTCATTAAACTACGAACCAATTTTGATAATTTTTAAGTCTAGTAAGGTATCGCTTTGTTTTCATTTAAAAGACGTACTCATTGAAATGTGTTATTACACGACTAAATTTAAATAAAAAATATCTTAAATAAATAATGAGTCAATAGCGAAAAAAAATTGTCCAATGTAAGTAATTAAACCATGCATGACAAGGTTTCAGTTAGCTTAGTCAAATAATGAAAGAAATCATCAAAAATTGGGTGACTATTTGTTCGAAATTCATATTCCCACCCTGTACCATTAAGGTATTAAAAATTATCACGTGACAGCAGCTTGAATCACCATATATAAATTCAGTTAATCACTCCTTGTGAATTAACTCACTGTAACGGGGGATATTTATTGCAGAATTACATAAACCTAAAAAGTATTTACTGTAAAAGTTCCTATATTTCCAAATGTGGTGCTCTTTAAAAAATTACTTATCGACTTAACAAGGTGTTCCGTAATGATCACCCTGAATGCATTTTTTATGAGATCGCAAATTAATATTTAAGCGCCTTTAAATTTTATCCTCAATTAAAAGGCTCTTCTTCCTCTTCAAATGCACTACAGCCTACTACAGGTCAAGGCCGTCTCAATAATCTTCTTCCAACTGATCTGATCTGACTCCATGATCTACCAACGATAGATTTTAAGTGTTTTGAGATCTGCCTCTATGCAATATATCTTGTGTGAGATCTTTCTCTTCTCTTGGTACCCTCTACACTAGCAAATGTCTAAACAGGTTTTAGGATGATTTTAATCCACCATTTGTACTTGTTGAGCTCAATAATGATTGGTCATAGTTTTTGTTTTTAAATTTGGATTTGCTATTCCTAATACACTTAGCTTTTTCCTGGTTTCAAAAAATATATGTTGCGGTTGATGAATACAAAACACCTTTATAGTTAGCCTTTATCTCGTATTTCCTAAGCTTTCCTTTGGAATTGAACTTTTTAAGAATTACTAAAGGTTAAAATATATTAAGTTGATTTACGTGAAACTTAATAATTCAAAAACAAAAAAAAAATAGATAACCAGTGAAAAGAATAAGGTTTTGAGTCAAATTAATTTGACTCAAAATACTAATACTAATTAAAAAATATTGAAATTGTGTTATACCACAACCTATGTTGATTCATAGATGCAGTAAAATGAATTAGCTATTCATGTTTGATAGGTGACATATTTTTTCGTATTCTTCATTTTACCTAGCATCCTAAATATGCCTATTAAAAAAACTTATTCCTAAAAAAAATCCTACTTGTAAGAAAGACAGAATATATTAAATGCAATCGTAGATAAAAATAACTGAATTTTGAAAATGATCAATTTTCGTTAATTCTAGTTAAATAGACTAATTTCTAGTTACGTAGACTAATAATAGATCTAATAGACTAACAATAGTTAATTCAATAGACTAATAATAGATTAGTTAAAATTTCGATTATTAATAATCTTTTTCATAACTTATTCGATTATTTAAAATTTTAGATGCTATTTGAAATTGATACTAGAAAGACAAAAAAATTGTCCTTTTCCAAGTTTCGACTTCCAAAAGGTGCCCAAATCTTAGTAAATTCTGCGATTTAATACACAATAATAATATAATAATTCATAGTAATAATTAAATAATAATAATCGTGAGAAGTCCATTGAATTTTTTAGAAATTTAAAAAGTTTAAAATTATTTCTTTGTAAATTAACAATGTTTATAATGCTAAACCTCTATATGCCTTGATAACTTAATTCTAGACACTGTGAAAGATGTATCTTTATAGTTTTAAATTCCATTTTTTAACTTTATAATTTAAGAAGTATTAAATCCAAAAAAAGGGGGGCCATAAAAAGAAAAAGAGAGAACAGTTTTTCATTAATTCCGTCCACCATTTTAAACTAGTTATTTCAAGGTTTAAGGTATTATGTCGTATCTAAACCATTTGCCGAGAATTAATATTTTATTTTTGTGCGTTGAAGGTCTGATAGAATTCTTTTAAGGATGATTATGAAAGTAACTCTTATAGTATTACATTTTCGTGGATATAATGTTACTGTCCTTCATTAATTTCAAAAGGAACAGTATTTTATAATAATTAAATTCAGTTGTTTGTGAGTATACAATAAAGAATTTCTGAAGTAAATTTAATAGGTCAGTGATTTCTGAAGTGTGGAAAGCATACGTTTGTACGTAGCTAGCCGACTGGGAATGTTTCAAAATAACATTACTAATATCATCTAAAAAGAAAGTTATAAAATTTCCTTAAATAAAATAAAAATGGTCAAAAATAATGAATATTTTATTGTATAAAATTTATATGTTTAAAGAATTTAAACAATGTGTATCATGTTAAAAAAAATAAATAAAGGTGAACGCTATAATAATTCTATCCTAATTTGGAAGAAAATATTTCAGACATACACTACAATTTCAATTGTTTCAATTTAATTTAACTTCAATTACTTTTAATCTAGCCATTTAAAGTTATTTTTAAAAAAATTTCAACCGTAATTAAAATAAGCCTGTTATTTATTCATTAAATTGAGCTACTTGTCTAATTTTCGTTTGTCTTTTGCTTGAATGCATGGGGGAGGACTATTTAGGATAGAAATGATATGAAAAATTAACAGTATTTTTCAACGTTCTTTCAGTTGGAAAAATAAAAAAAAAGCTACAATTAAAGTGTCTTACATTAGAAGCAAAAGCTATAATTTCAAACAATGTATACCTTTATGGTCGTAAAGAATAGTCTGAACTATAGACATCACCTTCTAGAAGATATACGGTTTCAGTACGGATCAATTTAGTAGTCTGACGTAGCGAACATAAACTGCGCAGTGGAGGAAAAATTTGAAGGATGCCACTAAGCTGCGCAGTGGGGGACTTACGAAAATTGTCATTATGTTTGGACTACTAAAAGATCAAATTTCTTGTTTATGGTAACCCGTGCTGAGGCCTTCTCTTTACTATCAGGTATTACTTTAGAACGGACATATAACTTAAATATTTAAAAAGTTATCTAACTTTTTTTTTTAAAAAGTAGTCAAGTTGGCGAGATTTTTCACTTAGATGAAAATTATCAAAATCAATGAATAATTTTTAATTTTTGTTATTTTTTACGAGCCCATATGATACAGAGTTAGAGCAACTTTTTAAATATTAAAAAAAACTAGATCACAAATGTTTTCATTTTTATAAAATTTTGTCTTTTCTTCTTATTGACGTTTTGTGCCATTTTCAGGGTTAGCTTAGAAGACACTGTCAAGAGATAGGCTGCTCTTGACCTAACAGTCTTAAATAACTGTTGCAAACTCATATC